GCCACGAGCACAGCCTTGTGGTCAAAACAACCTAGCTGAATGCAGGTATTGGTGAAAAGGGTGTCATAACCGTGATATCCCAGAATGTCTGCAGCTCCAGGTATCCTTTCTGTCTGATGGGGATGGGTTACCATGCGTCACGTACACCCCCGCATTATCATAACTTGGTATGAATATGACGCTTACCTAGGTGAGGGGCTGCTTCTTATTATGCTGCTGGTATGTTCAAGTTCGCATATACGGTATTCGAACAATGCTTCGATTGTGATGTTTGACCATCGAGAGGTATTGAGAGACATATGAATCCTTACGTGGCACTAGAATACCGGACACTGCTCACAACAGAAAACAGTGCGAGTTCCTGGTGTCCTTACCAGAACAATTGGTATTACTACCGATTGAAAACAAGCCAACCGCATCATGGACATGGCCACCACCGACACCAAAAAAGGGTGCTAATAGCAAACAGATATCTCTGTAGAATCATATGATGGCACAACCTGTAAAAGGGTGTCAATTTCCAGCACCGCCAATCTTCCTTGTAAAGCTAGACATATCCTGACAATAGATTCCTGATAGCCATTCCATGCGTCAGAATCCCTTTGCGAGATCACTTGCATTGCTACGCTGACGTTCGGTTTCTGTCAAGGGCAGAGGTTGTCAGATACTTGACATCGGGATATTTGCCTGATTGGATCACCATCCCACATGTGCCTTTGAGCGGCTTTCAAATTGCTATGTGTAATCAAGAATGCGATTAACCAAGGGGCTGCACAAAGAGGGGCTGTCAGATACGCAGCGATCCAATGCACCGAAAATGCGTGTGTTCTGCTGACAGCAAATTAACAGGTACTTGCGCCTAGGCTTGGGATTGGTTCTACGGTAGTTTTGCGGGTTGTTCTATTTTTGGTGGGGCGGGAGAGGTTGTCAGCGTAGCACCTCATCGGCTGATATATGGAGGAGCCATGCGGATTGCACAGCGAACAACCACAATCCCGTTAAATTGGCCTTGGGCCGCTCTGTTGCCAATTTTGTGCTGTTTTCAACCTCACCTCTCCTCCCCCCAACACATCGGTCCCTAAACAGTAGCCATGACGTTTTTTAACTCCGACAGCATTCCAAGTCTTCCTTTCAATATCAGGCCTGATGACTGGCTATATTGCTGCGTTTATCATGTCCTTTATTGCAGCATGTATGAAGTCGGTACAATTCGCACAGTACACAACGTCAGGCATGATGATGTTGGCTGCATTCCCGCGGTGGACAAACCATCTTACTCCGTGGAGGAAACTTGGGTATTTTGTGTGCCTGGTCATCGTGCTTCTTTCATACCACTCCTCTATCGCGCTTGAGCGTTTTGGAAGGTACGGAATGGAATATGTTGTTGGAGAGAATGCAACAGTTGCCATCGATTTTAACCTGCTAGCGACCGTCCCGCCTAGCAAGTGCAAAGACTACCTCGCAGACAATCTCCACTGGTACAATTGCACTGCCATCGCCGACCCACGCGAATTCCAAATTCTGCCATTGGAGGACCAGCAGTTCTCGACAATGTTCAACGACACGTCTCGCGGATGGACAATCGACAGGGAGGATGTTGAGACCGCATGGGTGTCTCCTCAATTGTACCTTCAGAACGGCGCGTTTGTCGCTCTGCCCGACCTGTCGAGATCATACCCTCAGAACAAGTCGTCTGTATTCGAGCCAGACCATGTTGTGCTGACGAACATGACCTATTTTGATGTTCAAAGTCTGTACCCTATCTCTGGACGAACACACAGCGGAGTATACAATGCCCTGAACATCTTTGCCACAACGCAGTACAATCTTGGCCCAAAGGGACTGGTGGACTACTACAGTGACAACTCCCGCCTGACGCAAGGAATCTACGCCATTCAGCTGGACAAGGACATGATCCTGTACTATCACGTTCGGGTTAACAGCACACACCACGCGTACAACTCCACCTATTGCAAGGACACGCCGTATGGGGACATGTTTATGGAGCATTACGCCAACATTGCCGATGCCGGTGTGCCCTTCAGCGAGCTTGACAGCAACAAAGTACACAACTATACTGGCCATGTTGCCGACATTGGTTTTGAACACACCGATTCCTCGTTCAAGGTGACGCTTACAAGCATCAGCCAGCAGAACGCGCGTCTTGGCTACATGAGCAGCAACATGTGTGATACCTACTACTACCAGTCGGAAATCAGATACAAGATCGTTCAGACCGAATCCACTGGTGGTGGCACAGTCGCTCCTGCAGAATTTGGCACCAGCATTGTGACTATGGACGAGAACGGCTACAACATTGCAGGAATTTCGTTCTGTAGCTCAATTGCGCTATTCAACGACCCGTTTGCGCGCTGTGACTGGGGGAGCTTCACTAAAACCATCCAATACTACCACCCGCTTGTCAAGAGTGTGATGAGCTACAAGGGCGACCGACCACCTGGCGAGATCCATGTAGCGGGGAACAAGTACAGCATCAAGGAGGGAATCTATATCGGAGCAGCGGCCAAGGCAGTGTTCGGTCTGATTTCCGGCCTTGCTGCTATCTTTGCTATTATACAGATAACCGTGCCTGGGTTCGGCCCGTATTCATCACACGCCATGGACATTATCGCTGCTGCATCGCTCGAAGAGCCGGGGAAGCTGGATGCGTTCCCTTGTGTGGCATTCCAGTATGACGGCAACCACATAGATGGCTACAGAGTCCGCCTTAATGGCTATGAAGTGCAGCTTCGACAATATGAGCAGCCCGGGATGTCGCGCAAGTCATTGGCGCCTTGGGCAAAGGCGAGTCAGAGTGATACCTTTTCCGACGCCGACACTGTATTCAGGAACTCGGGCGTATTTCGCCACCCTGTTTACAGGAATGTTTAAACACGGCACTAAACTAATCTAATAAACACTGTTCTTTCATACAGCTTCAACGCTTATACATGAATTTCCTGCACACCGAATATTGCAAACGATTGGCCGGAGCACCACACGGCCCACGCATTTGCACTATATCGGTGTTTGCGACTACCGAACAATGGCCCTGAAACAGTCTACCAGGCCCAGCGGTCCTTTAGACTCTGTTTGAAACGCCGAGGGGCGGACAAGGACGGAAGGACCCATCCGGGGCCTGTTGCTGGCCACGCGAGCCCCATGGGTGCACAATGTACCGGCTCAGGTCCCAATTCTGGCGCCAGTGTACCCACCTGACAATGCCATGCTGTCCTGTTTTGTGTGGATAGCTGCAAGCCACAGGTTATATTGCACAAATATAGCAGACAAGGGCGACTAAACAGGGGGTTGCAGCTGTGGTGTAGATGTGGGAGTGGTCTCGCGAGCTGTGCTCCCTTCACTACTAGTCTGCCAAAACCTCGCACTTCCCAAGAGCAGCCTATCCCAATACCAGTTATTTTCACCCGATTTTCCTCTGCGATGAGCCGACAGGGCAGCGTACCCAATGCGACCACCACCAGCTCGACAGCCAACTGCAGCTGTGGGTCGGTTTGCTGGCTGTGTTGTGGGGGACCTGGGGGAAAGGTAGGCGAGTCGACCGCGGGCTCCAGCATGGAGCACGCTCAGCAGTCAACGTCCACTCAGCAGATGCGCCAGAACGGACACATCCGGCCCCTGCGCTCGTGGAGCTCGTCAGAGAAGCGAAGGCCGGTGGCTGAGGAGTCGATGGTGCGTTCGCGGACCAGCCCACGGAGATTCAGCGTGGGCGGCTCTACCTCAGGGGCCATCAGTGGGTGTCGGTCCCGTGGCCAACTGGCGTTACACGCATGGGCAGAAGAGGACGAAATGCAGCAGCCCATTTCGCCAAACTACTATTTGCAGAAAGCGTGTGGTGATCGGGCGGCAGATGGCGATCGCCGCGGAGCGGGTATAAATAGCACCGGCAGGCATTGGGCAGACGCAGGCAAAGAAGCACTTGGCGCCAAACCGTCGATCCCCGAAACACTGCACAACTTTTACGAGCTGGGGTCATCGAGCAGCTCCAGCGCACCGTCGTCAAGGCGCAACATTCCTGGGAGGCAAGTGCAGGGAGGGCAGTATTCGATTTCCATCCCGTCGATGATCAGCTCACCGCTGTCATTCAACCAGCCGTTTTTGGCATCCCGGACGTCGATGTATGGCAAGCACCCGCCGTCCAGCCAGATCCGGGCTGCACACATCGACTGGGACAGCCTGTCGATGATGGAGGAGCTTGGATGGAATGCGCCGAGCAGCAGCCGTGCGGACTGGCAGGTCTGGCGCGGCCCTGGCGCGCCAGGTTTTGCGGCGAATGGCAGCACCAGCGGTCACGGGAAGGCCGCCAAGGGCGGCAATCCCTTTATGCAGCAACCCCAGGTCGCCTTTACGCAGCAGCTGCAGCTGCAGCATCAGCAGCAACAATACCTGCACTGTCTGCAGCACATGCAGCACATCAGCCAGCAGCCCCACCCGACCCACCAGCAGCCCCATGGGCAGCAGCCCCACCACCCGCAGTTGCAGACGCACCAGCAATCGCAGACACACCAGCCGACGCAGCCCCCGCTTCCGACCATGCAGCCGCCGGCACATGCCCACCCGCAAGTGGCACCCCAGGCAGGGCCAAACGGAGCACAGCAGCCGATCCCTGTCCCCGGCGGGCACTTGTTTGGGGATGCTCTAGGAATGGCCGGCATAGCCGAGCACGGTGCTCGGTCGACACCGCTGTCGCTGCTGGGCGAGCGTGGCCAGCAGCTGGCGTGGGAGTACGCGCGCCAGTTCCACCCGATTTTAGTCAGCTTCTCCACCGCGTCGCCACACAAGCTGTCGGTGTCGTGGCGGTGGACGCTCTTGTTCTTCCTGGCATTATCGACGCTGTGCGTTGTTGTTGGAGTGCCGGTGGTTCTGACCATTCTGCTTCGCCAGGAGGAATCCTTTTTTGTGAAGCACTAGCTATCAAAACGTTTTCCACACGTCTTTGCAGAGCCCCATGCTTTATTTTTGCAAAGCGAACTGGTTCATTATTTTCATGCACCATCCCCAGAACACCTGGTCCTTTGTTTTGGCTTGTTGCAGGCTCGGAATCATTACTGAAATTAAAAAAGTCTTGCGAAACCGTGGTCCCAGACAATGGTCTGCCGCGGCTCTTTCAAAGGAGTGAATGAACCGGCCTCAGCTATTTTTAGTGCCCATTCGTGTTGTTGCAGTGCAAGACCGAAGGCACAGAACGGTCCCCGCCATTTTCGGGCCACCGAGTGTGAGATTGTTGCGCAGTAGTCAGCGCCACGGCCAGGTGTGGCGGCGAGCATGAAAGCGGGGAAGCTAGGTTGCACAACTGCCGGGCGGGGGGTGGGCTGGGAACCCCACCCCGGGCCGCGCCAATGGCAGGCCGCAGACCGCTGATTGCACGACGCTAAAAAGGGAAGCGCTTGCAGCCCCAATGCACAGCGGTTTGCATTGATTTTCGCCCTGGCATTCATGGTTCTTTGTTGTCTTTGTTTCGAAAGGAAAATGCCACACCAGCCAGAGAAATCGAGCTGCACTGCGCTATTATAAAGACTAGGTCCAATCCTTCAGCCTCACGACAGACAAAAAATTTCCCTCTTCTCCTTTGTCGCTCTTTTTATTTCTTTGGAGATTCACTTTGCCTTGCACTTTTAATTATTCAGCTTCCGGCCTTGCCTATCCACTATTATTGCACCTCAGACACACACAAAAATGCAGACCCCTTCGTCTCGCTACTCATCCTCGCTCTCCTCGGAGGGCTCGTGCCCGCCGGTTCAGCTGCGCAAGCTGCAGGCAACACATGAGGGCTGGCTCTACAAGCAGAGCACAGGCTCGTTTATGCGGTCGTGGAAGCGGCGGTACGTTGTGCTGTCGGATGAGCGCCTTTATATCTTCAAGGAGAGCTTTGACTCGACATCCACAACATCTGTGGTGGCGCTGTCGAACTTCCGGTCCGTGCGGCGGGTGGCGAATCCGCGCAAGACCCCCTATGGTTTGGTTCTGATGACACACCGGCGGTCCTCTGTGTTTGAGGACCCGACCGACGAGGTCAAGGAGAACTTTGAGCTGGAGCTGTATGCCGAGTCGGAGGCGCAGCTGAGCCAATGGCTTGACACTATCTCCAAGATCCTAGTCAACATGGACATGCGGTCGTTTGTATCGCCGCTGACCAGCTTCGATGCGCTGCTGCAGCGGGCAGGCAACATGCAGAGCCCGATGAGCTCGGTGCGCAGCCAGATTGCTCAGCACCGCGCGACATTGAGCCACTCGCCGTCCACAGCGACGCTGGTGTCGAATGGCTCGATGGAGGCCAAGGTGGTTTCTCCGCCAATCTCGGGCAGCGCCCTGGCCAGACTCGGCCTCTGAACAAACCACTCTTGCACACTCGCCCTCATTGTCCAATCCGCTTCTTTCACCATAGACTTTTTTATTCGCATTCTTATCCTTATAGACCGCATCTCTTTGCTAAATCCGCATTTTTCTTATCGCCCGCCCGCTCGTTTTCTATTACATCTTCACGCATCGTTTCCTCCTGTTTCTCTAATTAAATAAACGTACCCGTTCCTTTCCTTTATGCGTGCTGGCATGCATGCAAGGAGCTTCCCTTGAAAGAGCGCATGCAGGCTAATCGCAGTCTTTGTGGCGAATAGAGCCCTCGTGAGGAATGCATATGCGGAATTTCTGCTTTGCGGGCGCATGTCTTTTCAGTCGGCTATTTTCTGTGCAAAAGCGGGAAAACTATTCTTTTCAGCTTATCTTCAATGGATGCCGGCTGTTTGCCCTGGGCACGTTATCCTCATGTCATGGCTCCACTTGTGACCCTCACTCCCTGGCTTGAATGCTTGAACTGCTTGAACTGCTTGGACTGCTTGGACTGCTTGGACTGCTTGGACTGCTTGGACTGCTTGGGCTGCTTGAACTGTTTGGACTGCTGCCCTGTCGCATGGTTTCGGGAGAGAGGTGGTCTCCTGCTAACTTTTTCCACCACAGTGCAATGTGCGACTCCCTGCTCCCAGGCCATGATTGCCACGCTGCTGCGGCACGCTGCGGCCACGGCTTGCATTAATATCTATGCCATCAGCACTATAGAGTGGTATAAAAGTACGACGCCAACAGCCACGGCCCTAAGCACTCTATCTCTCACCAGCTCTTCGCATTTTTAGTTCTAGCCCACCAACCGCAATCGCTCAAACAAAACACAAGCATCATGCCGGTCGATCCCATTGCGCTCGTTGCCAACACGGTGTTCCGTAACTACACTGCATCAGTGGCCAAGCTAACTGGAGGACAAGTCAACTACGTCTGGCGCTTGGCGGACAGCAGCGGGAAATCGGTGATTGTAAAGTATGCGGATGAGCTGCTGGCGTCCTACCCCGAGATGCCGTTTTCAGTCGAACGCATGAACTTTGAGACCCGCGGACTGGCGCTTTTCCATAGTGTTCCCGGCGACAGTGGGCTCGAGGCACTGACCAAGCTCTCAGCAGATTTGAGAAAGACCGAGGGCGTGCGTGTCCCAAAGCTTCTGCACGTGGACCTGTCTGTGCCGTTTGTTGTGCTCGAGGATATAGGCGATCACAAGGGCTACGAAGACTGGTGTGCCACTAAGCCACCACTGGCTGACATAGAGTACGTGTGCGGGAAAATCGGCGAGTGGATCGCACATCTGCACGGCTTTGGGCACAAGCACCTCGACAAACTGGAGCCGCTGATGACAAATACGCCTGCCCGCGAGATGCTGCAGGACGTGCTGTACGAGGACACCAGCAGTCGCTGGATCAAGTATACCGAGTATGCCGACAAGAGCCAGATCTCGCAGCTGGTTAAAGACTTCAGCACCACCGTGAACCGCAGAATCAGCGGAGAGGTGCGGCCAAAGGACAGAGTGTTGCTGTTTGGCGACATGTGGTCTGGGTCGGTCATGTTTGACGCTCAGGCCAGGCTGATCAACATTATCGACTTTGAGTTCGCCGACATCGGGCTTGTTTACGGAGACGTTGCGCACTTTGTTGCGCACCTGCTGCCTGTCTATGCACTCGGCAACGCCGACTACAACCCCAACTCGAGCCCATGCCCACCGCCGGTGGCAGCATTCTTGATATCATACGGGCGTGTGTTGAAAGAGCAGTATCCGCACATTCACAAGGCGCTTATCGACGAGACGATCGAGCAGTGCACGCGGTTCCTGGGAATTGAGATATCGAGAGATGTCATGATGGGCAACTGGTGCAGCTGTGGCAGCGGGCAGAAGCCAGGGACCACACCGCTGACGTGCAAGTGCCTGGGGGTCTGGCTCGAGTTCTGTCGCAAGTACATTCTGGGGACCGACGACTCGGTCTTCAACCTGCTAAAGTAAAGATTTCTGGTTTATGCCCAGCGTGGGCGTTTGATCAGCTGGAGCAAAAAAAAAGAAAAAAGAAAAAAGACACTCTTTTGCAGCACCGCAAAACTCCCACTATACATTTTTAGTGTCAGTTTCATCCCATGCAGCGAACGCCGCTCTTGCCTCCCTGCTGTAATATTCTCTCCCATTCCTTTGTCAATTAGACGCGCTTTAGAATGCAGCGATTAGTGACGCTCGGCACACTCTTCCGCTTACTGGTGGCCCTTGCCGCAGCACAGGGCGACACAGGACCAACCGCAGCCACAGCCAGCATACAGACGGTACCGGAGCCTGCCAACAGCGTGGTTCCAGACCAAGCAGTACTGGCACCCACGGCCACCACACATGCAGACACAACACTCTTGGTCGCCAATACCACGCTGATCTCTACGGAACACAAAGAGCGACCGATAGCAAGCTTGGCCGGCTACACAGGCATCAACGCGCTGGATACGATACCGGAGACCGGGTTGTTATTGCGGCGAACAGACGGTGTAGAGTCGTCAGAGACAACAGAGCACGTAGTAGCGGTTTCCGAACACGTGCCTGAGCATGGCCATGTGCATGAGCATAGGCATGAGCATAGGCACGGGCATGGGTATGAGCATGGATATGAGCATGTGCCTACACAGGTTGTAGACAATGCAGACGACGTGGAGGAGGGCCCAGCTATTGTCGACACAGTAGAGGATTCGTGGGAATCAGACATGGCTGACAATCCACCCGAGCGCCCACTGAATGAGCCCCTGCCAACAACCATTGTCGCCGACGACCATGAGCAGACCGAAAACCACAGCACAACAACGACCGTTGGCTATTCACCGACGCCAGTGCCGCCACCATCTCTGCGGCGTGACGCCAAAGCTTTGAAAGACCGGTTCAACTACGCATCAGCAGACTGCGCAGCGGTAGTGCTGAAATCCAACCGTGAGGCACGCGGGCTGAAGGCGATTCTCAACACGAAGAAGGACCAGTACATGCTGAACACATGTGCTGCGCGCGACAAGTTTGTGATTGTCGAGCTGTGCGACGACATCCTGATCGATACACTGGTACTGGGCAATTACGAGTTCTTCTCAAGCACATTCAAAGACACTATGGTGTATGTCAGCGACCGGTATCCGCCCAAGAACAACACGTGGACGTTGCTGGGCCACTTCCAGGCGCGCAACTCCAGGGATGCCCAGGTATTCCCAGTGGTGGACCCGAAGCTATGGGCACGGTACGTCAAGGTCGAGTTCCGCTCGCACTACGGCCGAGAGTTCTACTGCCCGGTTACTGTGCTTAAGGTATATGGTGCCACACAGATGGAGCAATTCCGGAAGGAAGAAGAGGAGGAGGAGTTTTTGGAGACAGCGACGTTGACGGTTGACGCCGTGGCTACGCCTGCGTTTGACTACCCGTTCCGCATGCCGTACCGAACAGAGCCGCTCGGCGTGGGCGCTCTGCCGGCCACTTCAGCAGCCAAGGCGTACTTGAAGGACATCCAGGAGCTTGTCGACGAGTATGAGGCAAATGAAGACGGCGAGGTCGACAGCACGCCGACCGCAGTGCCAATCCCCAAGGTGCCTGATTTGCCATGGGGCCAGCGCGAGAATGAGCTCACCGGCGCCGACCAAGACCAGGGCGACGACGAAGGCATCGACGACGAAGACGAAGACGAGGAATGTGACGGCGTCAATGTCATGTGCATCTACGACTCTGACGACTCTGACATGCCCGCTGCCCAGGAAACCGCAGATCGCAACCTTCCGCCTCTGGGCAGCGGTCCCGCGGCCAGTGTGCCTGTCGAGAACAACGGGATCGAGAAGCCGTATGAGCAGCCGGCACCGCGCGGGCCGCCCCAGCAAGAGAGCATTTTCAAGACGATTATGCGGCGCCTCTCGCGGGTCGAGCGCAACATCACCCTGACATACCACTACCTGGAGGAGCAGCACCTGGTATTCAACATGATCCTGCAGCAGGTCGAGATGAGCAATCTGGAGCACCTGCAGCACGCAATCCGCCAGCTCAACCATACCACAATGAAGCAAATGCAGTCGCTGACCATGCTGAGCGAGGAGGTCTGGCGCGCAATCCTGTATGATATTGAAACGCACCAGCAGAAGACGCAGTCTGATATGGACTCCATGTCCAGAAGGCTCGAGTACTTGGCCGAGGAGGTACTGTTTGAGAAGCGCATGAACCTGATGCAGCTGATGCTGTTGCTGACTATAGTTGCGCTCATTGCGCTGAACAAGGTTGCAACGAAGCTGGCTCTGATACCAGAAACGAAGAAGGAAAAGTGACATACACGCGACATTACTAG